AGTCAAAAGATTACAGAGGTACATAATTGGTCCAGGGACTGGACCCCAAAGTTTTGATAGCTGAGCAAGTTACAGAGGTGGAAATATAAACACAAATGCAGTATAATGTGATCCTTTATTGACTACGTTTCGCCCACACAGTGGGCTTTCTCAAGTCACAGAGGTAATGAACTCATAATTTACAAAGGTAATGAACTCACAATTTACAAAGGTAATGAACTCACAATTTACAAAGGTAATGAACTCCAGGTAGGTCTAGTCACAATTATGACAAGTTACAAAGGTATTTACAGATTACAGAGGTACACAATGGGTCCAGGGACTGGGCTCCAAAGTTTGATAGCTGAACTAGGTACAAAGGTAATGAACTCACAAGTTGCAAAGGTAATGAATCCTGTAAGAATGGTTACTTACGTTTATACATGGGTACAATCATGAACATATTCCAGAGTAATGAGCAATTCACACTTCCACACCCGGTCACAACTGTAGTGAGTTATTGGTGCAAATGTTGATTGTTGAGTCACACACACACACACACACACACACACACACACACACACACACACACACACACACACACACACACACACACACACACACACACACACACACACACACACTCACACACTCACACACTACACACACACACACACACACACACACACACACACACACACACACACACACACACACACACACACACACACACACACACACACACACACACACACACACACACACACACCACACACACACACACACACACACACACACACACACACACACACACACACACACACACACACTCAACACACACACACACACACACACACACACACACACACACACACACACACACACACACACACCACACACACACACACACACACACACCACACACACACACACAACACACACACACACACACACAACACACCACACAACACACACAAAACACCACACACACACACACACACACACACAAACTCGTACACACACACACACACACACACACACACACACACACACACAGCCAGGAGCTGTGACTCGACCCCTGCAACCACAAATAGGTGAGTACACACAGGAGCTTGGACATAAATGATAATAGATGAAAATTTTTACTTTACCTAGCAGACTAAAACTTGCTTTTATACCTAGTAGGTAGATCCTAGTAGGTAGATCCTAGTAGGTAGATCCTAGTAGGTAGATCCTAGTAGGTAGATCCTAGTAGGTAGATCCTAGTAGGTAGATACTTGATACCAATCTGGCTCTCTGGCCCCTGGCGGTATATCGCTTTCCTCTTATTTAATAAATTAACCTGCTTACTGATTTTGTTTATGGATGCTTATGAGAGGCTATGCAAGGGATAGGACTATACCTCCCTGTTGATCTAATCTGATTACCAATTTTCAAGGTACCGTATAATCCCCAGGAGGTTATACAGCTTGGGCTGTTGAGTGTACACCACCCACTGTAGCTCTGGATCTAATTGTATTCACAGCTCTAGCTCCAGGGCTCTTGTATTCTTGTCCAGGTTGTACTTAATTATTCAGATGCAGGGAAATGTGGAAGTATGGTGCAATTTGTTTTGTGCGTGTACTCACCTATTTGTGGTTGTGTGTGTGTGTGTGTGTGTGTGTGTGTGTGTGTGTGTGTGTGTGTGTACTCACCTATTTGTACTCACCTATTTGTGGTTGCAGGGGTCGAGTCATAGCTCCTGGCCCCGCCTCTTCGCTGATTGCTACTAGGTCCTCTCTCTCCCTGCCCCATGAGCTCTATCATACCTCGCCTTAAAACTATGTATGGTTCCCGCCTCCACTACGTCACTTTCTAGGCTATTCCACGGCCTGACTACTCTATGACTGAAGAAATACTTCCTAACATCCCTTTGATTCATCTGAGTCTTCAACTTTCAATTGTGACCTCTTGTGTCTGTGTCCCTTCTCTGGAACATCCCGTCTTTGTCCACCTTGTCTATTCCGCGCAGTATTTTATATGTCGTTATCATGTCTCCCCTGACCCTCCTGTCCTCCAGTGTCGTCAGGCCGATTTCCCTCAACCTTTCTTCGTAGGACAATCCCCGTAGCTCTGGGACTAGTCTTGTTGCAAACCTTTGCACTTTCTCTAATTTCTTGACGTGCTTGACTAGGTGTGGATTCCGAACTGGTGCTGCATACTCCAGTATGGGCCTGACGTAAATGGTATACAGAGTCTTAAACGAATCCTTACTGAGGTATCGGAACGCTATCCGTAGGTTTGCCAGGCGCCCGTATGCTGCAGCAGTTATCTGATTGATGTGCGCCTCAGGAGATATGCTCGGTGTTATACTCACCCCCAGATCTTTTTCCTTGAGTGAGGTTTGCAGTCTTTGGCCATCTAAACTATATTGTGTCTGCGGTCTTCTTTGCCCTTCCCCAATCTTCATGACTTTGCATTTGGCAGGGTTAAATTCAAGGAGCCAGTTGCTGGACCAGGCTTGTAGCCTGTCCAGGTCTCTTTGTAGTCCTGTGTGTGTGTGTGTGTGTGTGTGTGTGTGTGTGTGTGTGTGTGACTCAATCAATATTTGCACCAATAACTCATTACAGTTGTGACCGGGTGTGGAAGTGTGAATTGCTCATTACACTATATTTGTTCATGATTGTAGCCATGTATAAACGTAAGTAACCATTTTTACAGAATTCATTACCTTTGTAACTTGTGAGCTCATTACCTTTGTACCTAGTTCAGCTATCAAAACTTTGGGGGCCCAGTCCCTGGACCCATTACGTACCTCTGTAATCTGTAAATACCTTTGTAACTTGTCATGATTGTGACCAGACGTATCTGGAGTTCATTACCTTTGTAAATTGTGAGTTCATTACCTTTGTAAATTGTGAGTTCATTACCTTTGTAAACTGTGAGTTCATTACCTCTGTAACTTGCTCAGCTATCCAAATTTTGGAGTCCAATCCCTGGACCAATTATGTACCTGGAGTTTACCTGGAGTTTACCTGGAGAGAGTTCCGGGGGTCAACGCCCCCGCGGCCCGGTCTGTGACCAGGCCTCCTGGTGGATCAGAGCCTGATCAACCAGGCTGTTGCTGCTGGCTGCACGCAAACCAACGTACGAGCCACAGCCCGGCTGATCAGGAACTGACTTTAGGTGCTTGTCCAGTGCCAGCTTGAAGACTGCCAGGGGTCTGTTGGTAATCCCCCTTATGTGTGCTGGGAGGCAGTTGAACAGTCTCGGGCCCCTGACACTTATTGTATGGTCTCTTAACGTGCTAGTGACACCCCTGCTTTTCATTGGGGGGATGGTGCATCGTCTGCCAAGTCTTTTGCTTTCGTAGTGAGTGATTTTCGTGTGCAAGTTCGGTACTAGTCCCTCTGTAATCTTTTGACTACCGCCCACAGGATGGGTATGGGGTGCATAATAAACATATTAAACTAACTAAACAGGTACACATGAATAGTTACATAAATGATCATACTTAACAGCATATGTAGATTACCTAGGCTACCCAAAGAAAGTCAGTGACTTAGTTCCAGTGGTGTCTTGGACTTATTTCCTTCATTGGTAGTGGCTGATCTGGGAAAACCTTAAATAACTTTGTAAGATCTATTCAGTCGTATATGGTAATAATGGAAGAATGTGTACGAGAGACAGAAAACAAGGAAATAGAGGATAATTAAATGACCTGAAAGGAAACCGTTCATCCAAGACTTGAATACTCCAGGTTCCAGCAGCTTTGGAGTTTCTTCCACATATCTTTCTCAGGATGTGACCTACAGTAGTCACCTATCAGCCAAGTACCTACTTACTGCTAGGTGAACATATTTAGATATGTGACGACGATGATGATCCTTTTCGAATCACTTGTTCTCTCTAGGCTGGAATACTGCTGTACACTAACAACTCCAAAGCAAGTGAAATTGCAAATCTAGAGAGTGTACAGAGATCCTGTACTGCACGTATAAGTTCTGTCAAGCACCTTAACTACTGGGAACGCTTGGAAGCACTTGACTTGTACTCGTTGGAACGTAGGAGAGAGAGATACGTATATCATAATCTACACTTGGAAAATCCTGGAAGGAATGGTCCCAAATCTGCACACAGAAATCACTCCCTACGAAAGTAAAAGACTGGGCAGGCGATGCAAAATACCCCCAATTAAAAGTAGGGGCGCCATTGGTACACTTAGAGAAACACCATAAGTGTCGGGGGCCCAAGACTGTTCAACAGCCTCCCATCAAGCATTAGGGGAATTACCAATAAATCCCTGGCTGCCTTCAAGAGAGAGCTGGACAGATACCTAAAGTCAGTGCCGGATCAGCCGGGTTGTGGCTCGTACGTTGGACCGCGTGCGACCAGCAGTAACAGCCTGGTTGATCAGGCCCTGATCCACCGGGAGGCCTGGTCATGGACCGGGCCGCGGGGACGTTGATCCCCGGAATAACCTCCAGGTAACCAGCCCGGAGATTGAACCCGCTACCCTTTTGGTTGAGATCCAAATTCTTAGTAGGCAGGCAATTGCATTATGGCCAAAAAGACGCCTAGGTACAGTTGAGGACATTTAATAAAGTAAACGTTTCGCCACAGGTAGTTTCTTAGCGATAATTTGAAGAAACCACTCTTGGCAAAACGTTTCCTTTAATAAATGTCCTGAAGTGTACATAGTTTTTTTTCTCCACATCTTGTCGGTATCACCATAGCATTTCTCAACTGTGTTATTGATATGATAGTTACACACTGTGGCATGCAATGATCAATAAAACTCGTCGAAACGTCAGAATACAATTTTAAAGGTATTTTGACAGGTATAGAGCTCATTCATATTTATATTCATTCTTTTTTGTATAAAGGAACATTTGTGGCGTTTTAATACACATATACAGTGTTCCCCGGTTAGTTAAAAGCTATGAATTATTCGCTTTCCTTACATGAAATATTTTACAAGAAAATGAGGACGATGAAGGTAAAAAATATATTAGATATATAAAGTTATTTAGTGTGTGAGATGAGTGGTGTTGATCCAGCGGTCGCTGAGGTGTTGTGATGAAGGCGACTGACCCCGAGTGTATTCTCACTATATTGATGTAGGTCTGTGGATACTCTCACTTTAGATGAGATATAACCATCACCATCCCGTCTTCTGGACGTGGGTGTGATAGTGTGAGTGTTGGGGGCAGCTACAGTGATGGGAGGACGCAAAAGAAAGGAAAATTGTTGTGTTGGAGCGAGTGATGGCGGTGTTGGTGGGCGAGCAGAAGCTTACAGGCGACGCTTAAATTGTTACATAGCACAGACGGAGAGATCCATGGCTGTGTTTCCTGGGTTCTTGGTGTCTACGGGCATCGTGCTGAAGGTTAGGCAGGGTATATGTGCCCAGGAGCAGCCCATAGCTGGGGTATTTGTATCACACGAGCCCAACTTTGGCTCCAGGGCTCAGTCTCCTCCCAGGCATGTTGTCTCTGTACACAAGCTTACTTCTTGGTGGCTCTCACGGTCTTCGTTACAAGGAATACTGGGTTATTTGTCACATTAGGTCCCTGGCTGTGTTGTTCTCTACCTGTTAAGTATGTTAAAAAGACAATGGTATTTTATTGATGTTTCATCTACCAGGGATTTCAGTTTTAAATTCGAGGAAAGTTGTTAAATCCCTGGTAGGAAACGTCATATCAGTAATATATCTTGAACTGCATTGTATTATTAATATATTTGTTGATGTAATCTACCATTAATATTCACTATGTGGGACTAGGCTGGAGACTACAGATCAGCAACTCAGGAGGGTTAATGACCCAGGAAAACCTATGAAAACCAAGCAGTGTGCTTATTTCCATTGGGGTCTTTTTGTGTCTTCTTCCAAGATGTAGGTGAGGGGGGCTTTTGATCAAAGGAACTAGATTTTTTAGCTCAGACAGAACTTCAATGCCTCAAAATGCCCCAATGGAAATAAGCCACCTTGACTTTTTGAGTTATTCTAGGTAGTCTACACATATGCTGTTATGTATGATAATTTATGTAACTATTTGTTTACCTGTGCCAGAATAAACTTACTCTACTTCCCCACTAACTCTGATCCATAAGGGCTTAGCACTTTCCACGATTAAAATAGATTAATCTCCTGGATGCCACCTCTTCAAAGGGGGCTCCTTGACATGGTGAAGAGGCTTTTTGTCTAAGGAATTAAACCCTTTGGTCTCTTTCCTCAGACTGAACCTAAGTACCACCCTATCCTCCCTCCCTTATCCCATCCTCACTATCCCCCCCTTATTCTCCCTCCCTTATCCCATCTTCCCCATCCCCCCCTTTTTTCCCCCTTTCCCCATCCCGTTTGTAGTCTCTGGGGGTTCTTCCCTCTGGAATTATGGTTTCTAGGTAGGGGGAAGTATGCTGGGATTCATCCCACTCCATTGGGTCCCTTGGGGGTGGTGTAGTTTGCCAAGGAATCTGAATTGCCTGGAGTTGTGCTGCTCCCTTCCCGGATCTCCAAGAAGTGGGCAGGGTGTCCTGCAGATGATGGGCGTATCTCCAGAGGCTGTCTGTCTGTTCTGGGAGGTGATAGCTGAAGAAGGTATGCTTTGTGGCGGGTTTGCGACCATCTTTTCTTTTGTCCACCGAGGTGGCTCTGTGGATGTGAGGTTGCTCTCCCAGAGCGCTGGTTTACTGGCATGAAGGGTATGGCACGGGTTCCAGGCTGCATCTGCACTGCTCGTGTGCTCGAGGCCCTCTCGGATGAGGGGAAGAACTTACAGCCCTTCCATACCTTCTAGTGACTGTTCTTCTGCTGTCCCTCTTTTTTTTCTTTCCTTTTTTTTTTTCTTTAAAATAACAAGAGGCACCACTGTCATGGAGCTTTGGTTCTGTGATAACCCTCCTCCTCCCAGGCCCCTTTCTGTTCCTACATCCTGTTCTGTAAGTAAGTTAGTTCTGACCCAGCTTCATTATTGGACCATTCTCTAGACTTCTCATACCCCTGTACCTTCTGCTGGTGTTGCTTCGTCACCTGCTCCACATGCTGAGGCGCCACCCGTTTCTGTTAATGCCTCTGCCTCTTGCACACCTTTAACAATGTGTCCCGCTTCCCAGAATGCGGTGCGAGACAGTTTTTGTATCGCCCACCTCCCTCAGGTCGGACCGCCCGCAGTACTACTACTAAACGTTCCAGACCATCTGCTGACAACGGTTCTTTGATGTCTACCCAAAAAAGACCTGTGACACCCACTCCCTTTGCGCGCCATGTTTACAAGTACGCAGTGGACTAAATTCTTTTCCCCACAACCGACATTTCCAATTGATTATCTTTCTGACCATAGTATTGGTAAAGCTCTTTTACAACATATTGGTCAAAATGTATGTTCTTTCACACTCTTCAAAGCGGTTTGTGCGTCATTACAGTTCAGAATTCAGAAAAACTCATGATCTTTCCCATATTACTTCCATAGATAACATTCTAATCACAGTTCATAAGCATGCTACTCTCAGTTCTTGCGGTGGTATGGTGGTTTTACCTCATACCATTGTACAAAGTGATTTTCTGTCTTGCAGTGATGATATTTTAGAGCAATTAGCCCTTCAGGTCCTTTCTATTCTCAAAATGGATACATACATCCTGCCCACTCGTGGGCAGAGGGGCTTTCCCAGTAACATAGCCCGCTTAACCTTCGACTGTCATGAACTCCTGTCCTCCATTTGTATTGTGGGCCATCGCCTTGAAATCTGTAAAGTAGTCCCTTCTCCCCAACAGTGTCGGAAGTGCTGGTGCTTCACCCCGCTAAATACTGCAGATCGGCGGCGGAGTGCCCTATCTGCAGTGCCACAGATCATGCCAATACATCTTTTATAATGAATCTCGTCCTTCCTTTTCATTCCGTTGTCAAGTCTGTTATAATGAACGAGAAATCTGTTACCTCAAAGAGAGTGAAGGCCTTACACTATGGCTGTCTCAGTTCCGCCTTCAGGGAAATCTTCCTTGTGGTCCTTATTCTTGAGTAGTTCGGAGACCTCCAACCTTAATGGTCCTCCCACCCACCAGCTCGTCTGCTACCATGTCTTGTGGGGTCACTCCCGTTTCTAATTCTTTTGTGGTTTTACCCTCTGAAACTCCTGCTTCCGTACCACTTCCTACTTCTGCTTCATCTCGCTTGCTAATTTCTCAGTCTGCAGGACCTTGCAAGCCTACACCTTCGTGCCTATCGCCTGTGAAGGTGAATCTATCTTCTGCCTCGGTGCCTAGTTCTCACCCCATTTCTAACTCGCACATGAAGGTGGAGGTTCACCCCCCCCCCTCCACATGTAGTCCCTTCTTCTCCTGTCGCCTCCCCCAAGTCTTCTTCCCTAGCTACCTTTCCAACCTCCTTCCTCTCCTGTTCCATTGCAGGACTCGCCTGCCTCTGCCAGCACATCTCTCCGGGTTCATACTCCCCGCCCCTCAGACCTCTTTGGTTCCCTCCAGGCCGAGGGTGTCCCACAAGGTTGTGTCCTTAACACTACCCTTTTTCTCTTGGCTATGAATGCCGTTCTTCTGTTCTTCCATTGCATATTTGGTCATCACTTTATGTGGATGACTTTGCTATAGCTTATGCAGGAGCTGACTGTTGCCCGGTAGCGGCCTCCCTTCAGGATGCGATCAACCGGGTTTCCCATTGGGCTACTTCTCGTGGATTTAAATTTTCTAGTACAAAAATCCATTTCATTACTTTCACTAGACATCCTCTTGTCCCAAATATTCCATTGTATTTACACAGTTCACGTATTCCAGAATGTGATATGGTCAAGTTTCTTGGCCTTCTCTTCGATTGCCAGTTGACAAGGAAACCTCACATTTCCTCTTTGAAGGCAGCTTGCCATGGTCAGCTGAATCTCCTGAAAATTCTTGCACATCAATCATGGGGTGCAGATCACCAGACTCTCCTCTGTTTGCATTCCACCCTAGTCTTGTCCAAGCTGGATTATGGAGACCAAGTCTATTCTGTAGCTTCTCCTACCACTCTCTCTAAGTTAGATCCCCTTCATCATCAAGGTCTACGTTTATGCCTTGGTGCCTGTCGTTCATCCCCTGTTGGAAGCCTCTATGCTGAGGCGAATGTCCCTTCGTTAACTGATTGTCCTGATGCTCATTGCCCTTGTTACTTTGTCTGCTCTCATGACCTTCATGTTCTGTGTACTGTGGCTCTGGTGGCCTGGTGGTTAACGCTCTCGCTTCACACGGCGAGGGTCTGGGTTCGATTCCCAGCCAGAGTAGAAACATTGGACGTGTTTCTTTCCACCTGTTGTCTATGTTCCCCATCAGTAAAATGGGTACCTGGGTGTTAGTCGACTGGTGTGGGTCGCATCCTGGGACACTGACCTAAGGAGGCCTGGTCACAGACCGGGCCGCGGGGGCGTTGACCCCCGGAACTCTCTCCAGATAAACTCCAGATATAAGTTGGTCTCATGTTAGCAAAAGCCCATTATTTGTTCTACGCCCCTGCTTACTCTGACTGTTTTCTTTTCGTCTTCACTCACTCCGGTCTTCTCTCCACTTGCCTCCCTTGTATGTCATTTAGTGTCTGCCTTTTCCTTTTCCCCTTGGCAGGTGCCAACAGTTCGTGTCTGTTCTCCACTACCGCCCTGTGCCAAAACTCTCCTACCTACGACTACTTCTCGCTCTCTTTTTCTTGATCACTTCCAAACGCATGCTCATACCATTGCTATTTATTCAGATAGTTCTAAATCTTCTGATGGTGTTGGGTTCGCGGCAGTGTTCCCTGACGATGTTGTCTGAGGACATTTGTTAGACTCGGCTAGTATTTTTATTGCCGAGTTGTATGCCATCCTCATAGTGCTTCTCTGTATCACATATATGTCTCTTTCACTGTCTGTGATCATTTCAGATTTCCTCAGTGCCTTACAAGCCATTAAACAGTTTGATTCCCCTCATCCATTAGTCCTTCGTACTCAACTATGGTTGCACCGTGTGGCTAGCAAAAGCAAAAGCGTTGTTTTCTGTTGGGTCCCTGGACACGTTGATGTGCAGGGCAATGAACAAACAGATGCTGCTGCACAGTCAGCAGTACATGAGGTTCCGGTTTCCTATAGGGGTATTCTGTTC